TAACTATATTTTGACAAAGAAAGCACAAAAATTTGGTGCCAATAATTTTTCCGGTTTGTTACTGTTTGAGCCCGGTCTATTGCCACTCTATTGAATAGTGACAGATTGATCGGATCACCGTTAAAATATGAAATATTATTTATTATGTTGCTGAGTGATACTAGTCATCATGCTGTGGCCTTATCGTATAGTCCTCATCTCACCACGTATAAGCTTTCACATGGCTGTGAGTTAAAAAATATATTTCCCTCCTTCCCTTGCTTATATGATTGCAGGTTAGTCCAAGTAGATTAGTCTTCATACATGAGACGAGCCGCTGCTGTAAATGCCGTCTTTTTCATCCACTTTTGTACTTTGCTTATTTTTTTAATTTGGCTTTCCAGATAACGTCTTCCATTATTTTTGCTGCCATGCTTCTAATTCCTCTTAACTTTTCATGTAAGGCCGGCGAAAAAGGCCATAAAAAATATCTGCATCATTTGGTATTCTTAAAAGACCCATTTCTTTGGGCTGAGCAGAAAATATTTCTGGCGTTTTCCAATTTAGATCTGTTCTTTTTGTCTCGTGTTGCCTTAGTCCTCTGTTTCTGCCCAGTCCACCTCCTCTCATATCCTTTAGTGCGTCCTTCCTATGCTTGTTCATCAGTGCCCCATTTTTATGTGGTTATAGTAGCTTTGCCTGATAGATTAAATGTTTCTTTTCCCTGGTTGTTTTTCAATTTTACCTCCATTATGGCAACGAGTTCCATAACTATTTTCCTAGTTTTGCCTTCATTATGGCAATGAGTCCCATAACTATTTTTTTAGTTTCTCAGCTAACACGTTAAATTTTTCGCACCCCCTTAGTTCTATTTCTAACTTCAGCGTTTACTGCCTTGTATCTTTTCTTTATGCTCTGCCATTAAATATATCGCGTATCTTAGCTCTATCGTCATTTATTTTGTCCCTGCTATTTGCAACGTTATAGTTAGTATCCCCAGGTAGAGGCATTTTTGCTATATCTGTGGTACAGGTTTTCTTAACTATACTCATTTTACTAATACGACACACCTGGCTTCTATTTGAAAAGTTCGGCTCACCCCAAATCAGTGTAGTGAAGTATCTTACGCATGGATTTATAGTATCTGGAGAGATAACACTTCAGGTCCTTTTTATTAGCATTTACTAGGCCAGATCTTATGCCCAGGTTCTGATATTTAATCCCTTTCACCCAGCTGTAGCAGTGACGAAAAACAATCCCTTTCACCCAGCTGTAGCAGTGACGAAAAACAAGAGGGTAGAGAGTTTACTCGCTTTTGGTGCCCATCCTTATTTTTAATATTTTATTCTTTGAGACACTTCTTTTTCTTATCAGGATTCTGCAGCTTTCTCTTTTTTTCCAACTCTTTAAATTCTTGCGTTATGAATCACTTCATTTTTCTTCGCTGAACATAAGTCGTTGCTCAAAAAAAATTTTTTTTTATGCCAACGCGTATTTAAGTCGGCTTTTCTCGAGCAGTTTTTGTTCCAGTTTTTTAAAAAAGTGAAAAAAAGACACATACGCACACAAAGGAAAAGTAGACAAAATGATAAATATGTACAAAAAATTTCCTCAGTCTAATCAAGGCCTAATAGGTTTCTCTTCTTCTTTATTGCCTCGGGAGTAAGGGGTAAAAATTATTGTAGTAACTGATGAAATAATATGCTAAAGAACATTTCTCTAAAGCTCTCGCCATTTGTCTGCTTTAATGATATGTCTTGTAATTAGTACATCAGTTTTGTTGGCTTCTTGGCCGTTTTCACCACTGCTGGTAGACTATGACCGGCAATGTCGTCTTTGATTAGATCCACAGCTCTTCGATTTCTACCGTCGTATTCCCACGGCATTGCACTGCGTGTGCTTTCTGGTGGAATTTTATTTTCTGGAAATAAGAAAAAATTCCAACTCTTACCGTACCCCACACTTCGCACGAAAATTGTTTCGTGGAAAAGAGATTGGTAAGGAGGTGCGTCGCGGAAAAGTCTAACACTTTTTAAGTTAAGGACCTTTATTGAAAATATCACTTTTATAAGGCAAAGTCACGCGTGTGTGCCCTTTCATGGCTCATCATGTACTCCCCCCAAAGCCTCCTCCTTTGCTTTCTCTTCTTTTTTCCGGGTCTTAAGGCTCCTTATTACGAGATTCAAGGAGAGGCAGACGAGAGTCTTACCTATACTTCCATACGTTAAAAAAGTAATTATGATAAATATTACTACATTAAATATCACATTCCCGTACGAAAAAGCACTATATTTTCGTTTACTTAGCAATGTGTCAAACATATTTTTAATGAATACATAAAAACAAAAATTCGTTGCTTTAAAGAAATGTTAATGTGTGTGCCAGTAGAAGTGCATGTATGCAGTCAGTTGCATCTCAGCAATCCGTCAACCTCCTTTATTCATGCAGGACTTAAAGTTATGTTGTTTCCGATTGTAATGGCAACTCGGGAGTTTTTTGAGTGTTGTATGTAAGTAACATTGACAATACAGTTTTTTAAGTTTAATAAAATAAGTTATTTGATTATTCAATACAATTTTTCCATCCAAATTTCAAGACAGTTTTCGTTCATTCAATATGAAAACTCTTTTTTTTAAGGCAAAGCTTGAGATTTTGTTAACAGATTTTAACGATTCAAGCCTCAAAATTCTATTATCTCATAATCTTTGCTTATCAGAACTGTTGCCGCACTTTGTTAGCTTACAAAACGGATTCTTGCCATTTTTCAAATAAAATTAACTAAAATCTAATTCCTAAAAATTAATTTAAATTTGATTAAAATAATTCTAAGTTACAAAATATAGAACTACATTATGTAACTTTAGCTAGCTTGATAGAAACGTGTATAATCTTATTTCTTCTTTTAATATTCGTAACAAAATGCAGATTATTTTTTTTTAGAATCACTTTCATTTCCGAGACCTGCAGAGTTATTTCAATGATTTTTGTCTAGAAATGTTTTTTTTTTTAAGTTATACATCTGCAGGCACGTTCTATGCAGGAGTGAATCAACAATTACAGAATTCCGTCCTTAAGAAAATATGTGATGGAAGTGAATTTTTCATTGTATTTTCCCTCTCTCCCCCTTTGCTTCGCCACGTCACGATACCAGGTACATATGAAGCAAGTTAATTTTTTATTTTATTTCTTATTCTTAAACTAATTCTTCTGACAAAAAAACACTTTCCTCGAGATTTAAACTAGCAACTTTTTACCAGCAGCAAGCACACGAGCTGAGTATCTTATCCACTCTGCGACAGGCAGTCCTGGTTTTTAGGAAATTGGTTACTTCTTGTTACAGTGTGATTTATAACTGACTTTCAATTTCAATATTTATTTACTGTTTATATGAACTATATTAATTAGAGACTTATTCATTTAATTACCATTTTTTTAACTTTACAAAACTTTTATTTAGCAGCAATTTTTTTTTTTAATAAATGAATATTTATGTGATTTTAATTTTTTAATAAATGATTGTTTATTAGATTTTTTTTTTTTTTTTTTTGGTTGACATATTTTTAATGATTGGCTTATTCATACGACGTTTTATGGATGGATTATTACATGTTTATTGCATCTTATTCTTCAATTTTTTTTTTCATTTGTAAATGAGGTGATTCCTTGAGTTAAGCTAGATGTATTGTCATAAAATACTACTTATACACTACTTAAAATAAAGCGGTTTTGCAGGAAAGTTTTTCTTAGCCTTTAAAATGTATGTTGTGAGTATCATGTACGTTACTTAGAATAAATGCATGCTCATATGTGACGGATGCAAGCGTAATGTTGCAGATGTAGTTAGTATAGTTAAAAAGTAGATTTGAAGAAAGTATTATGCTTATTTATTGACAGAATTTTTTCCTAATAAGATACGGTTGACTTAAAACTATTTACCAAGGCAATAAAGTAAAAAGGCCATCAATGTCTGAGTAGTCTACCATGAAAGTTTGAGGTTTAAATAGTAAAAATAAACAACAATTATATTAATTTTTAAGATATAGGTGAAAGCTAACTCTATTGTAGTTATCTTTTTTTGCTTTTTTACTTAGACGAAGTTCAAGGTACTCCTTTTGCTGGGCTCAACACAAATATGCATATTTGGATAAGGGTTATGCCAAAGCTTTTATGGTATAGTAAATTCACGTAAAAACTGCTATTTAATTTTTAAGTGTTAACTAACTATAAGACATCATAAAGTATGATATATGAAGTAACCATCAATACTATATTTTAGTGTCCATGATGGATTGCAATGCTTTTTGCTATTGTTTTACTATTAACTTTTTCTTTCCATACCACATATTCTCATAGCTTTGACAACGCCCTTTTCAAATATCATGCCAAGTGATGGTGCTATTGATAGTACTTACGTAGCCTACAAGCATCCAGTCGCATTACGGCTCACAAAGTTCAGTTTTCTTTTGTTTTATGTATTTTTTAAAAGTTTTTAGATTTATGGAAATAGTATCTCTGTAACCTAGTATTGTCGTCTTAAGTAAGTATTATTGTGTACTGGGTAGATTATGCGTTTATTTTTACGTGCTCATTGCCTTGTGCATTAAAATTTGACCTTAAACTAAGTGGTTAAATCAATTAAATTTCTATTTAATTATATTCTTACAGGTGTACAATTTTATTACTATTGCCCTTAGAAACAATAACGTAAGAATGAATGTTATTCCTCTCTTGTAATTTTCAAATCTGCAGGGAAAAAACGAATTTTCTTTAAAATCCATGTATCTACGAGATGGAAAGACTAAAAGATACTTTTCTAATCCATGCACAAACTTTTACATTTGGTGAGATGATTCATTGCATTATCTGCTTCATTATTTTGTTTAATAGCCATTAGTATAATAATAATAAACATTAAAACAGCAGTATTTATTGGAAGGATAATATGCATTTCAAATGACAATGCGCAAATATTGAGCATAAAACAAAATTTTTAGCTAACAAATGTGATTTAAACGTCTTACTTGTTGCTTTCCATCTTCTAACACACGTAATTTTTCTTTATCCGCTAATAAGTCAAATACTTTTCCAGAGTATATTTCAAAAAAACTGGCAGAAATAATTAAGTTAAGTAAACGGTACTTGTTCATTTTGAGGCACTTAAAAACATCTTTGGCAACCATCGCATAGATTCCTTTTTTGCAATCTTGTATTTTACCGTTAAAATCACCTCCCATTGTATGAGTTTTTCCACTTCCTGTTTGTCCATAAGCAAAACACGTTGCCATACCGCCATCAAAGATAGTTGCCACTAATGGTTTAGCCGTGTATTTATAAATTACTTCGTTTGTGCAGGATTCATCGAAGGCATAATCAAATCTAAACAACTGGTTTTCCAAATACTTGGTCAAATCAACTTTAGCTTTCGGTTCATGTACAACAATTTGATCTTTTGTTGGTACGCTTACAACATCAATTTCCTTACGAGATATTTCTTTTTTGTTTAACGGACGTTTTCTCACACAAACAGTAATTTGATGATCTTCAACAGGATCCGTTTCCCTAAGTGGCCGGAATTCAATACTGCTCTGGTATTCCCTATAAAAGTAATTACTAATTAATTAGGCAGCCTGACATATAAGATTTTTCGAAAATAAAGTAAGAATCAAAAATTTTTTTACGGAATTTACTGTCGAGTGCTGAAACAAAGATGAGAATAAGCTGTTGTTTTCATAGTTTTTTTTTTATTATTCTTGAAAAAATTATTTTCTCATATTTGTTTTTCGATGATAAAAATAAAAAGATTAGTACTTTAAATCCAATCCTCTCACATATTTTAAGTTCATAAAATAAAAGTAATATGGTAAAGTATAGATACGAATATTTTATAAAAACAGTACGTAATAATAGTGAGTACGAAAAATATTTAATAGTATCAGATAAGAGCCAGAAATTTCAGAAATAAACATTTCTAAGTTTTATGACCAACACTTTCTGTACCCAAAATAAAGAAAAAGTTAAGTACTGTCTGTTGCACCAGTTATAATGAAACTAACATCATCGACTACAAGGATCAAACCTTAAATGGCGTGATCAGCTTACCATTATACATTATTATACAACTTTAAGTTGTGTACAGTAAACTCTTAACTTCTATAATATTTTTGAATGTAAAAATTTTGCGCTTCGATACATATTGAGACTTTCAATAACTACATTTTTAACTGATGTTTAGATCTATTACGTTAAACTTCCAAAACTTATCATGTCTTGATGTAACCTAAGTGACACGTATGTAAGTTTATAAGGTTAGGGCATTCGGGGAGAGGCAAAACACCTGTACATAATTAGAAGATCCAAAATGAAAAAGTGAGTGCACATGCATTTTTGAGTTATCGAATAGAGCTGTAAAATCTGAAGTATTTTTTATGTGACTCTCATAAAAAAATCCCCTCAAACTTAACTCTAAAATCTTGAAGATCTAATCTTATTTATTGTATACAAAAAAAAAAGATACGAAATTTTACGATCTGTCAATATACACTAATAAAAGGTTAATACAACTTTTTAAGTTTTACTTCAAATACCGTTTTTCTTTATACTTAAAATTTTTAAGAAAAATTTAAAATAAAAATAAATGGAAATACTTGTGACTAAACAAGAAATAAAGTCCATATAATTCGTTCCAGTAGAGTTGTTATCATTACATTTAAATAGGTAAATTGATATTTTTTCAGTATAAAAATAAAATTAAAAAAACTTGGAATCAATGGGTTGACCACCCTTAAGAAGGTACCTCCGTTAGGAAGTTTAAACTTCGTACAATTAATGTTTTCAAAATATAGAATACACCGTTAAATTTTTGTTGCCCTGAGTTAGTTAGTTAAAGAGAAAAATGTAACATGCACTCTTATGGAAAAAGTGAAGGTAGTGAACATTTTTATAAATATCTGGAACAGTACCGAACAGATAATAATAAAAGTTAGGAAGGATATAAATAAACATACAAGAAAAAGTAGAGTAAAGAAATAAGGCAATGAGCTCACCTCTGAATTTAATGATCAATCAACTATATTTGACACTCGCGAGACTTGGTAACTTTTGATGCCATGTTGCGTTGGCGCTGTTAGCGGAAAATATAAACATAATTCCGAAAATTTTAGCTTGGCAAAATATTAATTTTTTTTTCGTCATGAGCACATAATTAAGTAACACTCAATTCATTTAAAAATTTAATTAATTATAAATAATTTTGATTGCATAAGAAATACTTTTGAACAAAAATTTATAGACTATTAAAGACTTTAGTGTTAACACTTTTTCCTGATCAATCTAGTATTCGATCAAATAATTATTTCATAAAAGTATTTACCCTGTTACGCGTCTCATCGAAACATTTATATAGCGCTGAAATTGGTAGAGAAGAATAGTTATATTTTTCTAATGACATTTTTCAGACATTTCTAGGCTGGTACTCTACGGCTGAGATACCTCCTTAAGGGTTAATTAATGTATGTTGAGTGCTACTGTATTCTGTGAAATCAGACAACGTAATTGTAGATTCTAATTAACAATGGATTAAATTAATCTTATCTAGTTAAGGTAGGAAGTTTATGTGGCTCGAATTCTACTAATTCTAATTAAAATGGAACAAAAGTTAAAACATTTGTATTTTAAATAACGGAATAATTATTCATTTTAATTAATTTAGTTAATGTTGCAATTCAAGCATCAGATGAGATGTTTGTTGAAAGATATTTCTCATTACAATTGTATGGACTTCAAGTTACTAGTATACTGTGAAGATAAAAACACCTTTTTTCTGTTTCAAAAAAAAAAAAGTAAGACATAATTATTGTGTAATTCCATTTAAAAATGGAATTTATCGTTAATACGTAAGCTACTCTTAAAAGATGAATTAATGTATCTTTAACTCAAGTGTTTTTTAAAATAGAACAAAAGTATTAACATTTGTAACTGTAAGAGTCATACATTGCATGTACGTATCAGATATCAAGCTAATAAGAAAAGATTATCAAGTTTTTTCTTCCACTATAGGCCATCCACCACCCCCACTTCATTTTCTAACCTAACCTAACATAACACTAATATAATATGAAGCCAGTGATACTTCAGTGCACCAGCTCGTGTAAAAAGGAGGGATGGGTGAAGGCGGCAGATAGCCCACCGTCAGACTTTCGCCTCGACCCCCAGGTTTAGTCAACCACTATCCCAACTCTTTATATGAAAATTCTTGTCAGTAATTTTGTAAAAACTATAAATTAAGCTTTAAAGATTGGTTAAAATATAGTATAAATTATAATCTAACAAAAATCCCTGTCATCATAATGTTTTAATATGGCCGCAAATCACAAAAATTTCACTAAATTTAAAATAGTGCACGTATAAGAACAGTAAAAATAACATTATAAATGATTATATGTTTGCATTAATTTAAATTTAGAAATTTTTGATAAAAAATCTTACACTGGCATTAAGACTTTTAAAGTATATGTGGATAAGTCTTTTACTGTATTTGTTCAATTAAAACTAATTGACTTCATTGTGTTTATCAAAATTTGATGAATAAGATTGATAGTTAAGTAGGGAACGTAAATACTTATAATGGCCCCGAAAAGGGCCCATGGTAAAATTTCTGGTTATTCCTTATTATAATTTTCGATGCTGAAAAGCCAGCTGCGGGTAACTTGACGCTGATTTTTGGACTCTCTGTGTACGGAGACCCTACTGGAGGGAGGTACGCCGCTGACCAAAGAATATATCATCTTCAGGTCGTTCCCCGGATAACCAACTGCTCATTGTTAGTCGGGAAAGTCGGCCTGCAGAATACCTTCTCTGTAGGTATGCCGTTGGGACGACTACTAAGGAGGCCGTTGTGGCTGCCCGTACTCTTCAGGGCTGTCTTCTGTCTTCTCTGGCTTGCATTTAAAGAAAAAAATTATCTGACGGCATCAGGCTGGATGGTTGAACGGTCGCAAAACTCTGAAGTGTTGGAGCAGGTTGTCCTTTGGGTAGACACGTCTCCTGGTATTCCGGCGGAGACTACAATTCTTGGTGTACTGACAATAAATGACTACGATAATCGACAACTCAATGTGGCATCTTATAACCACTCTTCACTATCTTTGATTGCGGGTGGATTCACTTTTACCTCGACTCCACCTAGCGAATCTTACTGAACTAAAGCGCAAAGCTAGATTATTTTAGCAAAACTTTAAGCTTATTCATCGCTATTGTTATTAACTAACGGAATTATCAAGAATCAGTATGCAAAACTACAGCAAAACCGGTTCAGTAGTTTTCACTGTTAGCGTTTACAACGGTTTCAGCGACTTTGCTTTATATATTAGTAAGACTTGTTAAAAGATGAGTTCAAAAAATTAATTTTTCGTTATTAGAAGATTCATCCCGGACTCTTTATGTCAAACATAAAATTTTGTTCTTTACAAATGATTGGATCTATGTTGAAAATTTATGACCCCGAATAAAGAGAATCTCTTTTTTAAAAGTCAAATTTGAATTTCACATAGCAATTTATTTTCAACAAAGATCAAACATACATTCTGCCTTTTAAGACATTCTTTTTTTTTACTGTTTGTGATAAAATTTTTTGTATACTTCACTACATGCTGACATTTTTCCATATTTTTTAATCCGTTAGGAGTTTGAACAAACAAACATGTTTCAAGGAAACTTTTTCTGAGTAATGTTATTATTTCCACTTTTCTTCGTAGTAAAGTTAAAGGTTCAAGCTTATTCACTTTTTTGTAGACCAATGCACATAGCATAACAATTCTATTCTATTATTAATTTCAAACACTGATAGAAATCCAGCCAAGATGAATTATCAAATAATGAAATGTGTATCAAATTAAGGCCGATGTTTAAGCGTTTTTCCGTACATTTCCTTTATTTTTATGTAACCCCAACATTAAAAACACAAAATAAATTTTTTTAACGTAATTCAATCACTCCACATTTTGGAGAGAAAATTCGTAAAGTTACAACAACAAATCTCAAAAACTTTCGTACAACCTTGAGATTTTTTTATGATATGACCTAGATTATTCACTACTACCTTAATATTTATTGTATACATACTTTCTTTCATTTAGTTGTTTAAAAAATGCCATGAATTATTATGTATGCATTATCTGATTATGTATTTAGTAAAATGTTTAAAACTTGGCAGTAGTATTATGTACATACATTTATTGTGTACATGGTCTTCAATGTATTATTCAGTTACTGGATGAACGCCTAAACCTATTTGCTTTAACGGATATACGCCAAAATGGCCTGAATAGACGTACACCCAAACATCGTTTACATTGGTGATTTTTATAGCTTAAGTCATTAGCTGGTATTTTTTCCCCAACGAACATTCTTCGAATTGATTTTTCAAATGATGCTTTGACGGCATTCGTTTTTAACTAATCAAACGTATTTTTACGACAACTGTTACCACATTTTTACACTCCAATTTCATAAGCTGTGTGTCAAATTTTATGTTGACTTAGGAGTTTTTTTTTAAATTGTGTGCTTCCCATATTTTATGCCAACTTTGTAGTTTATTA